AGTAAGGCACTTGTTACTAGAAGCGATGCACTTGTTACTACTAGCGTCCTTGTTACTACTAGTAAGGCACTTGTTACTAGAAGCGATGCACTTGCTACTACTAGCGTCCTTGTTACTACTAGTAAGGCACTTGTTACTAGAAGCGATGCACTTGTTACTACTAGCGTCCTTGTTACTACTAGTAAGGAACTTGTTCCTAGTAGCGATGCACTTGTTACTGCTAGCGTCAACTGCATTGTTCTTGAATTGTTCTTGAATAAGACAGCGTTTGTTACAACAGAACGCCCTTTCAAGGTGGTACTTGAAAACTAGTGCGCACAACAACCTGAGTCGTATCAAACACTATTTTAGAAATAGGCAGCCGTTTTTGTTACTACTAGTACCAAGTGCCACGCTAGTAGTAACAAGTGCCTTACTAGTACTAACAAAAAGCTATTAGAATTAGTTTAAGTTAATTTAAAATTATAGTTTTTTGTTACTACTAGTAAGGCACTTGTTGGTACTAGCGTGGCACTTGTTACTACTAGCTTTGTGAAAAATAGGAGGCCGTTTTGGTTTTCACTGTGCCCACTTTCGGTGTTTCTCGGACACGACACCGTACCGCACTGTACTTACACCGCCACCGCGACTGCTGATGCTACCTTTGCCACCGCTCCCGTTGCTGCTTCTGCTAAGTCTCTTGCTACTCCTTTTGGCACGACTACTTCTACTGGTGCAGCTGCGGCCATTGCGACTACTCCCAACCCTACTCCTACTACTCCTCCTACTCACCACCTATTAGCAGCTCCTATTCTACTACTACTGCCCTTTGCCTCACAAGGCCCCCTCGTTTTTTGAGCCGAGGCTTTGAAGAAGCTGATTCGCCGCGAACAGTTGCAGATCATCCCAAGGCAAATGCGAAGGACACAAAACACACATGGAGCAACATTTTCTGGTTTGGAATGACATGGAGTACCTCATATTGCTTTACCCCTCGCACATGTCTTACATGAACACCTTTTAAGGCACTCTCTGTGGAGGGATGCCAGTTGATGCAATGTACATGTCGTTATCCCACATGTCGTGACTTGTAACTTGCAACTTGCAGTTTTGGCTTTGATGCCAGCGATGAGGGCGTCACACACTGAGCATGACATTACACTCTTCTAGACAACCGAGCTTTGTTGACATTTGCACCAGGACGCCTAAGAAGTCCAATCTGTTATTTGTTTGCAAGGTGACGGATATGCTTACTGCATTTCAGGAATTCGAAGAGGAGAGGGAATTGAAAGTGCCTTGTCTCTTGTTGCTCGTTTACCATCCACATCCATCCACCATTTATCAAGACAAATAGTTGTCGTAATTGGTCACCTTCTTCTATCGGATCTATCGGCTTTTTGGAGCCGGTTTGACACATTGTCTCCATGTTCCATGCGAAGACAGATGTCTTCACTGAGTCTTCACATCGTTTTGCCGCGCCTTTTGTTCGAAGGTCTTCACTGAGTCTTCACCTCGTTGTGACCGGAGGACCCCGACATCTATGTGAACTCCGTGGCGATTCAAGAGGCCTTGCAGCAGAAGAAGCTTCCGAGGCGAACTTGGTTACAGGGCATCGCTTGGGATCGAGCGTAAGACAGTCCTAATTCGCGGCCAGTCCTCGGAATGAAAGCACCATGCCACAGGGTGCTGACCTCAGACCATTCTTCAGCTCGCATATATGGCAAGCTTCAGCTCGCAGGAGGAAGTGGCAGGTCTTGACAACGTCTTTCTTTTTTTTGCATTGCTTGCGCCTTTGGCATATTGCCTGTAGCTGCCATGCTATGAATGTTGGAAGTAGTTCCATTTCATGTTCCAAGAGGGGTTGCCGAGAGCCGCACGCTCGTTCAAGCCGCACGGAGCCATTCTGCTGAGTTGAGACAGCGGACTGCAAGGCCTTTGCAGCTATCCTAAGCTCAGGGGTGATGATTTTGCTTGGAATTGTGAACATTAACAGCGATGGCCTCCAAGCTAATAGCGATGGCCTCCAACCGGCCCTGCAGGGCCTAGGATTCGGTGTTGCCTCCTGAGGTAGTCCTGCTGCTTCGTGCACAGCTCGTGGCCTTCAGTCATCCGGCCTTCCAAAAATCCATCCGAGCATTGAAATCCAAGGCTTGGTCAAGCTGGAAAGGATGGACATCCCGTCGATCAGTTATGGTAAAGATCACTGACTTAGAAAGTTACTCTAATAATGACTCTAATGACTCTAATACACATATGGGAACATTTTCTACGTCACACAGAATTGACATAAGCCAGACCAGCACGGGATTTCATGTTTCATGTTCCAATCCAGCATGTCGCGCAACTATTTCATGTCCATTTTGTGGGCACAGCTCCATAGGAAGCCTGAATCGATCAACAGTCACGGTCACAGGGCGCCGATTGGGATTGCTTTGCCGATGGGACGTAGTAGGACCTATCTTGATGTTTGCGGACCATCGGCGCCCCTGAAAGTCTGGACCGACCGGCAGGTAACACCTTGCGATGGATTCTATCACCTTCCAGGTGCCAAGATGCCAAGTTATGTGCCAAGAGGGCACCTTTGGAACTTCCAGCTTTCGTGCAATGATCAAGATGGAGGCCATCGCCGCTAGTAGGTTGGAGGCCATTAATATTAGGTCCTTTTGCTACTAGGTTGCGGGCGATTGCTGTTAGGTTGGATGGGGTGGAAAAAGAGAGCAGAATGGGACAGGACGAGCAGAGCTGGCTTTGGACGTGCAGAAGTTGATCTTACCAAGGCACATCTAAAAAGCATTAAAAATCACAAATGAACAGATGTGCAAGGAAACACATTATTGATTGAACATACTATCACTTCCTGGGATGGCCTGGCAGGTTTGGCTTTGAGCCTTCTCGCGAAGGCGTGGCGTGGGAACGAGTTGGGAAGTTTTGACATGAGATCAGCCAGGTGTGAAGGCAATGATCGGCCATTGCTCGCAATTCATCAACCAGCCGGAGGCGACCGTGCAGATTTAGGATGGACTTCATAGTGACTCCAACCTAAAAGCGATGGCCTCCAACCTAAAAGCCATGGCCTCCAACCTAAGAGCGATGGCCTCCAACCTAAGAGCGATGGCCTCCAACCTAAAAGCCATGGCCTCCAACCTAAGAGCGATGGCCTCCAGCCTAAGAGCCATGGCCTCCAACCTAAGAGCGATCGACTTCATAGTGCGTCACCATCATGGTATTTGTAGTTGTAGGAAAAGGCTGACAGGATCTTGTGCGGGTTGCATTGCACAGATTGGACATTTTCAGGTGGCCATTCTGCTGGACAGCATTAATAGCAGGTTGGGCATGGAATGGCATGGATGAGAGGAGCTATGATGATCCAGTGAGGGTGACCATGGGTGTGACGCAGATGACCTGAGGCTGGGCATGGATGCTGCCGCATGTCAACGCTTCAGAGAGATGGTTTCCAGTCACAAGCCTCAGACTTGGGGTGGTAAAAAGGAGGCTGAGGCCTTTAAGGCTGCTCTAAAGGGTCCTGTGCCTTACTATTTGCATTACTTACTTACCTGTCATTTTCTTTCATCTCTTTGGTTGTCTTTTTTGAGAGGTTCTCTCGCATATTGGAGTCGTGTCCTTCTTGTGATTCCGTTCCAAGGTCTGTCAGAGCCATAAGCGGAGGATTGAAGCCAGAGAGGTGCATTTGTCAGTGCATACTGGCACAAGATGGCTAACAGCAACCATGAGCAACGATTTCCAACAGTTTGTGAGTTTGTGTGGGTATTGATGGAAGCTAGCCGGCTACACATTCCTTCAAGCACTTTCCTTGCAAGGGCTCCTTGGCAAGACCTGTTGCCCTTTGTTATCCCTCAACCTTGTGATGCTGGTCCCCGATGCACTGGCAGTGCGACTGTGTAGCATGTTCGTCTGCGTTTCGTTTTGGCGCCATGACTTTCCTCAGCGGTGAAACCTGGGCCAGTTTCACGGGTGATGAGCACACGTTGTATTTCACCAGCGGTGAGCACAGTCCACTGCGCCCTCGAAATTGTTCCAATTCACTGGCCCTACGAACCCCAGGCCGTTTCATCCCAGCACCTGACCTTGCAGTGAGGTGCACCATCGCTACCAGATGCTACTAGTTACTAGGTTGGAGGCCATCGCTACTAGGGGGGAAGCTGCACCTGCAGTGAGGTGCACCGAGAACGTGCCATTTCGTCAGAAATCGGGTGCCACGAACATGCTCCGACGTGACATGCTCTGCTACACCAGGGACGAACACCTGCTTGTTGTGCCAGCGTGGAAACCGCTTCACTTCACCGGCAGCATCACCATAGTCGACAAGGGCACCTCACCAGCAGTACTAACCCACCACTTCCCCAAAGGCGATTTCGCTACAGACACCTTTGAGTTGAGCAGGATTCGACCTCTGTTTTTTGTCAATTGTGTTTTCTTAGTTTTTAATAGCCATGGCCTCCCAACTATAAGCGGTGGTCTCCAACCCAATAGCCCCAATGACGACAATGTACCAACAGAATTTGGTCACACTTGTCATATTGGTTCTCGTACCTGGCATTTTGGCTTTCTTGAACCTGTTGGTTTTGCTTGAGATTTGTTTGACAGATTCAGATGTGAACGGGCTTTTGATGCTTCGGTGACACCTTCCAAAAGAATCAAACACAGTCGATGGCGCCAGGGGCGCTTCTCACAGTCAGCTGCACCTCAGGTGCGGGACTTGCGAAAGCTTGATTTGTCGAGGTGTTGCCATGCTGGTAGATTCCCTCAAACCCAAAGGCACACAGGGAGTTTGATGATTGTTTGGCAATGCAAGACCCAAAAGACGCACCCTCATGCAATCTCATGCATATATCTCATTCCTGCCGCTACCTGTGGCATTCACCGCAGGGTGTTGCACCAAGCAGCGGCCCAAGAGTGAAGTCGGAGTGCTCCAAGCAGCCAAGATGTTACTCTAAACAGCTGCCGAGTTCTGGTTTGGAAGCATTTTGAGAGAAGTGGAAAGAAGTGGATTGCTGGACAAAATTCGTTCTGTAGGCCACTTTAGGCCAAGGTTTGTCAAGGCTTGGAATCACAAGTGGTAGGACTCTCTGTGCTCGAAAGCTTTCTTGCACGGAGTCAATCTTTGGGTCAGACTAATAGCGATGGCCTCCAACCTAAGAGCGATGTAAAGCAATGGTTTTTGGTTTGTAGTCTTTTCTGGTCCATTTCCACATTGAGACACATCACGGTGAAGACAGACACCGCCGCAACATTACTGTGCTGAGTCGCTTTGCCCAAGAGTCGAGACTGAGGTTGTACACACTCCGCTGCCAATTTCACCTTTTGGGTGAGTCTTAGCGCGAGAAATTTAAAAGGCGCGGGGCTTGCCTCAAAGCGAAGCATCGCTGGAGTCCTTGAAGCACGCGTTGATCAGTCCTGTGGTCCTGTGACTTTTGGACAACGTGCATTGAGGACTTCCAAATACGCATTCGGGCTGTCACGTAGTTAGATCCCATCTTCAAAACATGAGGGTGTAAAGTTCTCAAAGTATAGAGATACGCCTTTGAAGATGCTAGAAGTATGAAATAAGTGAAGATGAAGCATAGACACTTGTATGTGTTCAATTACTTGCTTTTCTCCGCCTTTGCATGGACACCTTAGTAAACGGTGGCTCCACCATGCTGGGCCCGAAGATGGTGTCAGCCCAACGAATTGCGCTTGGAGAGCGCAGCATGCGCCAGTGAGGTGAGTCGCTTCGTACGTACGAAAAGTGTGTTGATATGCAACCAGGGAGACTGTACGTTGACATGGTTTTGTTTTCTTAGACCGTAGATTCTGTAGATGTTTAAGATCGAACAATCTAAATTCAGAGTTAGACACAGCATTTTCTGGCTGTTCCGTGGAGCGGTGCAGTCAAAGCAATGCGGCTATCGCCTGTCTCTGAACATACAGGGACTTCCCAAACTCATCAAGCTTTTAACCAGTCAACATCAATATATATATATATAGACCATATATATATATATGTGTGTACCAAAAGCTATCACTACTAGGAGGCCATCGCTATTGAAAACAAATACCAAGGAAAAGGAAGAAAAGGTCTAACATCATAAATAAATAAATATATATATATTATATACACCAAAAACATGAAAAGACACCTTTCAACTGAGTAAACATGTGTACGTAGACTCCAGGACATCGAACGTGAACCTCTGCACTCGCCCTTGTACCCATTGGCTCTCTTTGCACTAGACGAAGCCAATTGAGGTTCCAACATGAAATATCATGATGCTCAACAAGCTATTGAAGGCGTGCTCCAAAATGCCCGAGCTTGCCGCAAGAAGAGACTATCAATGACCCCCTGACACAGTCGAGAGAAATGACTGTCATCCTCATCTCTCAACTGTGCTACAGAGCATGGAAACGGATATACGATGATCCTTGTCATTTCCCATCCCACAAGCAGCACTCGTCATCAAAAATACCCCTGGCAATCATCAAGTAAATAAAAGCCCTAGGGATCTCTTCACTAAGTGCCTGACATGACGCCTGCACATCGAATAGGAGAAAGAAATCAGGTTGATGACCCATGTGCTGATAAGTGTGAGAGGCCCAGGGCAAGTGCAACACCTAAATTCCAACGGTGTCGTCATGTTGGGGAAGAGCCACTTGCTTAAGCCCAATACGCAACACTCCGTCGAGTTTGATCGGAATGGACATCACTTCACTGGCCGAAACGCCCCCAGAGCTTTTGCATCGGTGGCTCTGAACAGATGGGCCACACTTGTTTAGACGGCACAGCCGCACAGCTGATGTCGATTCGGAGAGGGTGAAGCGTCGCCACACTTCACGACATCACTCTCCAATGTGCTGAATTTCTCAGCAGTCGGGCAAGATTGGCAGGAAACTACGGTTGGACTGTGTTCAATTTAGACGTTTTGTTCCTTTGCTCATTGGTAGAAGTTCCCCTCGAAACAGTTCTCCGAGTCAGTATGTGCAAAGATCCATGTGTAAAGATCCTTGAAATAGGTGAGAAAACTTGCCCTTTGCAAATCAGCATTGTACAGTTCCCTTTCATGAGCTATGCCCAAGCCCGATCACGGTATTCGTTCTTTCAAAGACACCTGCGCAACAGGCCGACGCAAGTGCCGACGCAATAAGACAGTTCGTGAATTTCTTAGTTTCACTGCCACCACTACTTATTCTATATTCTTTGAGAGCTAACGGCACAACAGGGCCATGGGCTTTGCTCCAAGCACCACGTGCTGCCGAAAGACCGTTCGACACTCGATCGGCTGCGACCGTGCCAGCCATGGCTGCGATTTGAAGCGGCCTGTCATCCGTCATGGTGAAACCAATGCCATCCCGATTGACTCGTGCGACGCGCCAGGAACTTCCGCGCCCGGATTGCGCCCTTTGAATCACCCTGGCAATGCTTGGGCAGTCTCACGCTGCAAGCCAGCATTCGTGAAAACATGTCTTAAAAGACATGAATCATAAGGGCATTCAATCAGTGTTCAACGTTGTGACTTATTCCGCTTTTTTAACACCTATGTCCAATACGCAACACTCATGCCATATTCAGAATTTGGCCAAGAGAGACTACCCCGTCGCCATTGCGGTTTGCTTCTGCAAAGCCTTTGACTGATTTCGTTTCATCTCCAGCGTTCACGGGCGTTGCCTCCTGCTGTGATTTATCTTCCATGCTGAACTGCTGACATATGTTGATGTGGGAGGCAACGAGGCAAGCTTTCGTTATGAAACCGTTGTTCCATGCTGGACATATCTGGGCCTTTGAACGCCTTCAATTTGTTCTTCCGTACTTTTATGACACCCAGAAATTGTTACTCACCTAAACATATAGTGCATTAGTTCATTGATTGAACATTTTGAGAGCTACACACGCCCACCCATGCATTGAGACACTTGTGCGCGCAACATGACATCATACATCAACGATGGATTATTGCGTTCACTTTGGTGACTTGAGGAGACTATATAATTGTGTGGGTTTGGACCAACATAGTGGCAGCAGTATTGACACCCGCGGAGCATAAAGTGGAGGCCCCAGTGGTTGGCGTGAACCAACGGGTTTTCGTGCCTATCGCTGTGCCAAGTCACGGGTACAGGCAAGTCACGGGAACAAACCCAGATCAGGGCCAAAAAAAGCGTTGCTCAAAGGGCACAAAGCGTTCATGCTTCAGATCGCAGTTCAGTTCACAGTGATTTTGCTGCGTGTAGATGCAAATCGGGGAGCAATATCTCAGTCTCAGTAGGTCCATGATGTCCGACTGTGAATATGGGTGAGGATTGGAGAGGGAAGTGTCACGAATCTGGTGAATACACGCTCTGGCACCCCACATCCAGAAGATACTTTGGAGGCCCAAGACAAACACATCTACAAGCCATCTAGAACGGGCATATAGGGCGATGTCCAGCTGCACGACGCAATGATGCATATAGGACGGTGTCCATGATTCTCCCGATCATGCAGCACAGCTTGCCATGTTCGAAGCGCTGCTCGTCATGCACAGAGGCCTAAGCCCTCTTAAACTCCATTTGCTTGCATGTCTCATAAGCTACCATTTGATCACAAGAGCTGGTAGCTTTAATTCAGGCCTGTGGATGCTGGTGTTCAAAGCTTCAACCATCACAGTCGAGGCGGAATCAGCTAAGGTTGGTGCAGAATCAGGCGGAGTTTGATCTCATTAGCCTTGAGGATCCCGAGATTTTCGAGGAGCAGGTGGGAGCGCCACCTGCAAAGCTTGCTAGCTAGAGTTTGTGGATGTGATCTGGAGGTGAGCAGTTGAGAATAAAGACCAATTGAATAGAAGTGCCTTACTAGTAGTAACAAGGACGCTAGTAGTAACAAGTGCATCGCTTCTAGTAACAAGTGCCTTACTAGTAATAAGAAGAAGCTATTAGAAACATATTGATTCTACTAGTAAGGCACCTGTTACTACTAGTAAGGCACTTGTTCCTAGTAGCGAATTGAGTGTAATTAGAATTAGACGTCTCGCACCCAGAGCCCCGTGGGAGCCGATCGCCCACAGCGAACGTGCCGTTGACAACAGCGGAGTGGTCAAAACATCGCGACGTTGGCTCGAAACTAGGACAGAACAGGCAGTAGGACACCTACAAGAGAACAAAAGGAAATCAACAAGAAGTTTGGTGGTGGTGGTTGGTGGTTGGAGTGGTGAGCTACGGGCTAATTAAACCAAGGACAGGGAGAAAGATGGTGGCAATTGGGATTTGGCGGATTTGGAATGGTACTGTATAAAGCTGCTTTGTTATTCAGTACCGATTGACAACCAACACTCCCAGACACAGCTGGTGTCGATTGCATTTCGGTCCGGAATGCCTCGGTTGGGCGGAATGCCTCCGCAAGTGCCGATCATATCAAACTGATGTATGTTTGCTCCTGACTGCATCACCCTCTCCGTCAGTACGATGCAGTTTTAAGCCTGGACTCCCTGATAGCTTCAAGGAGCTCAGGGATGAAATCGAACGAATCTGAACAGTCATGAGCGGTGACTCAAATCGCCAGTTCTGCCATGCCATTGCATCACATGAAGGCTCTGAAGCAAGTTCAGGAGAATATCTCGTTTGGATTGATGAGAGACCTTCATCTCCAAGTTCTGAAACGAACATACTTTTTTTTAAAGGCGCATTTGACATGTCCTGATTAATCATTCAATAATTCAATACAAACAAACCAACTGATGGAGAATCGTTTGAGTCTGAAAAGAAGTAATGGCCCTCATGCCTCATGCCAGCATGACATGTAAGTTATGGTTCGGAAGAAAGATCAGGAACACACTTCCTCCAAACACAAGTGACAAGCAAGTCAGACGGCGATGTTCGGTTCCCAGTAAGCTTTGGAAGGCAAAACATCCGATGAAAGACCAACCCGGGACCCAATCGCAAGAATCTCAAAACAGTTAGACGGGTCCTGACACGTCAGTGACAATCAATAGGGTACAGGAGTGAACTGCAGGGCAGTAAAGGCAGGCAGGGACAAGTCTTTTGCCATGTGTTCCCGGAACAGAGCACCACAACCTGCAGTCGTTCGTAGTCGGAACCTCCCTAAGAGCAAACTACTTATAATGTAAATCACGAAAGGTAGCGGTTACGCTACCTGAGTTTTCCTTTTGCTTTAGCAAAAATGTATTAACCCAGAGCTGCAGCCTATCTCTCGGAGAAATGGTCCCCGACATCTTCGTTTGCTGGCCCGGGGCGGGGGGGGGGCCCCCCCCCCCTTTCAACTCCACCCTAGCGCGCCTCGGGGTCAACCGTTCGAAAACACTGTAAATATCAGTGTTTTCAGCTCTTCCAGTCCTCAGCAGTGACAAAAAATCATGGAATTTACAGCGTTTTTTGTGGTTGTCCGGCGAAAAACACCGCAAAAACCGATGGTTTTTGATGCGTCTCGGGTAGAAAAATGACCGAAAAAAGACCAAAAACCAGGAAAGATTTTGTCAGAAAGGGTTTTTGAGGCTTTTGGAGGCTTCAAAATTGCACAAAACTATGGTATTTACAGGGTTTTGTGCACCTTCCCGGCAGAAAACGCCGGTATTTACACGGTTTTCTGCGCTTTTCCAGCGCTCAACCGTGGTGCGCCTTTGGATCGACGGCTACAAAATACCGTAAATACCAGTGTTTTCAGCTCCTCCTGTTTTCAAGCGTGGCCTTAGACCTTGCCGCGGCTGTGGATCGACGGCAACGAAACCTCGTAAATACCAGTGTTTTTGAGCACGTCCTGTTTGCAAGCATGGCCTGCGGCCACGCAATTTACAGGGTCGCCGCACGTCACTATGTAAATCCGAAGTTGCATTTGAGAAATATGTGACTCCTTTTGAAGGCACGTCAACCTGTATTGATACCGCTAGACCGCTACAGCTTCTGGAGGTTTTGTCAAGCGCTTGTGCATTAGTTTTTCTTTCATCACGCTCACTCACTTCTCTTCAAACAAGTGGGGGGCCTCTCACCTCCTCCCGGATTACGCCTGAGTCCCTGCTACCTTTCGTTCACCCCCCTCCTCTCTCAAGTTTATAGGCCTTTCTTCCTTTTCTTGCTGAGTTGTTCTAATAGCGATGGCCTCCACCCTAGTAGCCGCGGCCTCCAACCTACTAGCGATGGCCTCCACCCTTCTAGCGATGGCCTCCAACGGACTTAGATTAGCTTTTTTCAGAAGCGTTTCTACGAACCCTAAGTCTTGGCATCTTAGCCTTGTCATGTATTTTTTTTTCAGCTTTCGAGGTGGGGCATGTCCAGCCGGTGAAGCCGGCTTTGGCTCCAGTGACTCCAGTGGTCATCGATGACGGCGATGCCATCACAGAGATCAACCTCTCACCACCGCCCAAGAAGAGGCCCAACATGGACGGTCTTGCTAGTAAACAATGAGAGGATCGAAAGAAAGGACAGATTAAAGGAAGAGAAGGCAAGGAGGCCGAGGTCAAAAGATAAAGTCTGAAAGGAAGAAAAACATGGCCTGCACAAAAAAGGTCCAAAGAAAGAGACAATAACTAGTTTTCCAAGTCCAAGAGACCTGATGCGCTAGTAACTGGGAATGAAAACAGTTTAACACGTGTTAAAAACACACAACAAATACATGTGTATATATATGTATGTATTACAGTGTATTGTATATATTAAGATATATTATATGTTTTACTATTATGTTATGATTCTTGGTGAGACACTGTGAGGCCGCCCCTGGCATCGCCCAAGAGCGCCTTCGCCTTCGCCCGGCGCTGTCGGAAGTCGGACGCTGCGCAAGCGGAAGGCTCCATTTTTTGTTGAAAAGGTAGGACAATAATGGCTTGTTACTAATAGCTTCTTGTTACTAGTAGTAAGGCACCTGTTACTAGAAGCGATGCACTTGTTACTAATAGCTTCTTGTTACTAGTAGTAAGGCACCTGTTACTAGAAGCGATGCACTTGTTACTACTAGCTTCTTGTTACTAGTAGTAAGGCACCTGTTACTAGAAGCGATGCACTTGTTACTACTAGCTTCTTGTTACTAGTAGTAAGGCACCTGTTACTAGAAGCGATGCACTTGTTACTACTAGCTTCTTGTTACTAGTAGTAAGGCACCTGTTACTAGAAGCGATGC